TGCTGACATGCATGAAAACATCTGGCTGACATTGGCATGAAAACATCTGGCCTTACATTGCATGAAAACATCTGCCATTGATGAAAACATTCTGGCTGACAATTGGCATGAAACATCTGCTACATTGCATGAAAATTACTGGCTTGACATTGGCATAAAACATCTGGCTTACGTTGGCATGAAACATCTGGCTTACATGGCATGAAACTTGGCTTACATTGCATGAAAACATTGAGCTGACTTGCATGAAAACATCTGGCTTACATTGGCATTGAAACATGCTGGCTTCATTTGGCATGAAAACATCTGGCTGACATTGGCATGAAAAATCTGGCTGACATGGCATAAAACATCTGCTTACGTTGGCATGGAAAAACATCTGGCTTACGTCTCGCATGAAAACATCTGGCTTACGTTGGCATGGAAACATCTGGCTTACGTTGGCATGAAAAAACATTCTGGCTTACGTTGGTATGAAAACATTCGGCTTACATTGGCATTGAAAAACATCTGGCTTAAATTTGATATTTTAGATCCAAATGCTGATAGCAAAGCCAAGGCTACTTTCTTCGTGCAATTTATCCGACAGCGGTGTCCGGGAAATTAATATGGAGGCTGCAGGAGATTCCAATGCTTTTCTGAGTTTAAAATTTAGCTGACCATAATAATGGGACTCTCTCTCTCTCTCTCTCTCTTTCTTTTTTCTCTCTCTCTCTTCTCTCTTTCTTTCTTTTTCTTTCTCTCTCTTCTCTCTTCTCTCTCTTTCTTTCTCTCCCTCGCTCTTCTTCTCTTTCATTTTCTTCTCTCTCTCTCTCTCTCTCTCTCTCGCTTTCTTTCTTTCTTTCTCTCTCTCTCTCTATCTCTCTCTCTTTCTTTCTTTCTTTCTTCTCTCTCCTCTCTCTTCTCTCTCTCTCTCTCTCTCTCTCTCTCTCTCTCTCTTCCTCTCTCTCTCTCTGCTTCTCTCTCTCTCACTCTCTCTCTCTCTCTTCTTTCTCTCTCCTTCCTCTCTCTCTCTCTCTCCTCTCTCTCTCTCTCTCTCTCTCTCTCTCTCTCCTTCTCTCTCTCTCTCTTTCTCTCTCTCTCTTTCTTTCTCTTTCTCCCTCTCTCTCTCTCTCATATTATATGCTGTTTAACTTTTTCTTTTGCTCCTCTGTCACATTTGTCGTGCCTCAACAAGCGCTCTCGGCGTGCCAAGTCTGGCACTCTGACAGAGTTGCCGACCATGATATAGATGTCAGATATTGAGGGTATGTGTTGTGCGTGCCAGAACTGGGGGAGTTGCCCGGCAAGTGTGTGCGTGTGTGTGTTGTTTGTGCGGGCGTGTGGTGGTGTGTGTGTGTGTGTGGGTGGTGTGCGGTGTGTGGTTGTGTGTGTGTGTTGTGTCGTGTGGCTGTGTGTGTGCCAGCACTCGGTGGTGGTTGTGGGTGTGTGGCTGTGTGTCTTCTCTCTTTCTGCTATCGCTCTTCTCTCATCTCTCTTCTCTCTCTCTCTCATCTCCTCTCGTCTCTCTCACCTGCCCTTCTCTCTCTCTCTCTCTCTTTCTCTCTCTCCCTTTCTCTCTCTCTTCGGCCAATGCGCATCCAAGTAATAAAGAACAACACCCTCTCTGTGACAAAAAAAAAAAAAAAAAAAAAATGACAGAAGTAAACAGCGCACCCAAGGAAAACCTTGAAAGACCTGATCACTGTTTTCAATTTTATTCTTCTTTCTGTTCAGTGTTCAATAAGTGTTCGTGTATCGGGTTTGTTTTCCAATTTGATTCTTCTTTCAGTGTTCATTGTGTGTATCGGGTTTGTTTTCCTTCAGCAACACACAAAGGTATTGCAACATTTGCCAAATATTCACGACTGTCAGGGTACACAAGAAAAAAGTTTTACACGTGTAACAACAAAGCCGCTTTCTGCTTATTTTGTGAGGAGATAAATAGCCATAGAGCAATTAGATTTGTTGTCTTTAGCATGCGCCTCTTGTGTGTTTAGACGAACGCGATAATCATAAAAGATAATAGCTATTATAATGGTAAAGATAGTAGAGATACTTGGAACATTAATTACTGTTTTTATTGTTTTTTTTTTCGCTTTTCCTTTACATCCCTCGGTTCGCGGGACAGTGGACCGAATAGCCTTACACAGCACACCTGGCAAGTGACTCACCCACTCATGCTGCGTATAAGCAATACGCTTATGAATATTTTATCTCTCTCTCTCTCTCTCTCTCGTTCTCTCTCCTCTCTCTCTCTCTTCTCTCTCTCTCTCTCTCTCTCTCTCTTCTCTCTTCTCTCTCTCTCTCTCTCACACACACTCTTTCTCTCTCTCTCTCTCTCTCCCTCTTCTCTCTCTCTCTCACAACACACACACACCTTTCTGTCTCTCTCTCTCTATCTCCCTCCTCATTCTCTCTCTCTCTCTCCTCTCTCTCTCTCTCTGTCTCTCTCTCTCTCTCTCTCTCTCTCTCTCTCTCTCTCTCTCTCTCTCTATTCATCTCTCTCTCTCTCTCTCTCTCTCTCTCTCTCTCTTCTTCTCTCTCTCTCTCTCTCTCTCTCTCTCTCTCTCTCTCTCCTCTCTCTCTCTCTCTTCACACACACACACACCCTTCCCTCTCTCTTCTCTTCTCTCTCTCTCTCTCTACTCTCCCTCCCTCATCTCTGTCTCTCTCTCTCTCTCTCTTCTCTCTCTCCTCTCTCTCTCTCT